CCATTTCATCACTTTGTTTAATCATAAAGTGGTAGCATCCAGTACTACTATACCATGATATCATTTAATCATTATGCCATAACTTCCGACATCACATTAATCATGTGGTAACTTATAGTACCATCTCATCAATATTCATATCTCCATAAATTTGGAGAATTTATCAACTGATACTTCAGGACCAGGTTAGTCCATATAATGTCTGTTCATGAAAAGGACTTTAATTAACTTTCACATGGTCAGATACAAAGTATCATTAATTTCACTCATTGGCTATCACTTAATTTGTACTGCCCATCGCCGGCGGCAGTGCCGCACTGGCCGACCCATGTATATGTATAGCCATTCATTTGTTGCACGTGGCGTTGCCACCTGGCCATTCTATATCCCCGGTTATCATTAATATACTGACTGATCCATTTAGCCGTTCAATATTATCTGTTGCTGGTGGCTGCAACACTTGGCCATTTCATATGATCGGTCATATTTCTTTATAATATTTTTGATCAATAATTGACCCGTTGGTTACCACTAAATATTACTTGCCGGCAGCAGAGCCGCACTGGCTGATCCATATAGCCACACATATTTCTTTTCATATCACAAGGGTCAATCCATAAATATTCGTACGTTCATGTACCAAATAATTTTCTCAATAGAAGAAAATCAACAGTTCATAATGACAATATATATTAATATAATTCAATAGATCATATCAATATTGGTCTTAAATCGAAACTCTATTTAAATGAAATATTATGAAATTGTAAAATGCTAATTTTGATACTGTATGCCTTTTGAAATCTATCTGAAGCTTGATGAATATTTGAAATTTTATGTTCATGTTTCATTATAATGTCTTACGGACACAACACGTCATTTGTTGTATAAGTATGACTTTTCATTTGATATCTCTTTCAAGACTTATGTATATTAACTAATAAAACATCAATAGACTTGAATTAATGGGACAAGGGTCCCACGAAGTCAAATGTAATGTTTGGTGTGACAAATGCATAAGAGATATTATTTTTTCTTTCATCAAGTGGGTGCCCATAGTTGCCGACAATAATTATGCAACAAGTTAAAATATGCTACATTATTACTTACCTGAAGAGAAGGTGGCTAGGTGTCATAAGGCAGTTATTACAGCCCTTCTTCTCAACTTGGCTTCCACTGCTGAAGCTTGAATGTTATGGTTTTCATTTTCCAAATGATATAGGGAAAACCTCCAAGTGCACAAAGTAGAGCTCCCAAGTGCCAGAGGATGAACTATGTAAGTGCTATTGAAAAATAATGCATTTTTCACCCTTAGATTTCATTTTTTTTCTTTAACACTTTTCTGTTTGTAAATAGTAGGTAAATAATATTTTTCTCTATTGTTTTATTTTAATTTCATATATATGACTATTTATTGAATAAAAAGGTGTTGATTTTTTTTTTTGGTTGTGCTAATGGGGGACTCCGACTAATGATCATTATGGAGTTCAGTCCTTGCAGCACAATTGTTTTTTCTAGCTTTCCCAAATCAAAAACTGATCCTTCTTGATTTATGTAGGTTATGACGAGGGACTATAATGAACATGAGAAAATCGAGAGTTTCGGTATGAAGTTGAAGAAAATAATAATTTGTAATAATTCGATTTCTGATACAGAAGATCGTTTATAAGACGCAGCTGTAGAGCATACTCTCGTCATATTACAAATCAAGTTCTAGAGGGTAGAGACTCGTGCTGATAACGTGTTATAAAACTAGAGAGAAAGAGAGAGAATAGAGAAAATGTATTCTCTTAGGTATGTTTTTCATTATAACTGAAGCTCCTATTTATAGGAAACTTCTGATGGCACAACTCGTAATAATACAAATACATCGAGGGCAAAATAGTCATTCACATACATTATTTTATAATTTCATAACAAGATCCAATTTTTAGATCGGGGCACACGCGCACGCGCCGGTGAAGCTTGTGGTTTTTGAAAGTCAAACGCCTTTTTCTTTTTTTTCTTTTTTTTTTTAATTGTATGAATGTCGTCATAATTTCATATCACACGGTGAAACTCAGCTTTTTGAACCTTGATAATTGTAAATTATAACAAATTTAGAGTTAATGACCTTTTTATTATATCCGAAGATGATTGTGTATTTTGAAATATATAGTTGTACTAGATCAATAGTTTCAGCACGAAGAAACAAAAATATATCTTAGACTTTTTTTAAAAAGTATTATTAAAAATGACAAATAATTTATTTGTTAGTCTAAGAAACAAAAATATATCTTAGATTTTTTAAAGTATTATTTAAAATGACAAGTAATTAAAATTATAAAACAAACCTAAAACAATTAAAAAAACGCAAACCTAAAGCTATAATTATTTGTTAGTTTAAAATTTAAATAGTAGTAATGGTAACAACTCTATGTTTAGTTACACACTTTACATGTAGACGTAAGTTTTGTCTTAGAGAGTAGCTGAGTCAGTCGTCCACTAATAAAATGCTGACAATGAATTAAAATGATTTTGGTAAAAGTCAACACAATCATAAATAAGTTCAATTTAAAATTTTTAACCCTTTTTCTGAATGTGTATATCTTGAGAGTTCTGCCCCAATTTCAAAACATTATTAATATGATTGTGTTCCACGTTTTTCTAAGATCATCCTTTAATCAAGACTAGTATAGAGCCCATGCGATGCACGGGGTGCACAATTTTAAGGCTATTTATTCAGGCTTATAATTATATACATGAATAAAGAAAAATGTACGGGATATATATATATAGTACGTGACTCGTGCGAAGCACGAGATATATTTATTTGGAGAATATTATATTATAAGATGTAATATTCAATAAAAGTTTATAATACGCAAGAAAATTGTCAATATTCAAATACCAATGTGAAGCACGAGATAATTTATTTGTTTTATGATTTAATAATATAAACAAATCTATACTTAACTTTGACAAATAAAACAAATAAATACTTTAGTAAGTATTTAATGTATATACTAAATAGGATATATTTGGTATAATCAAATACCAAATATAATCAAATAAGTCAAAGTGTACATTTTTATTTGGTATTTGATTTTTTTATTATTAAAATCTTTTTATTATACTTACCTTTTAAAAATAAAACAAATAAATAAATCAATTCAATAAATAAAATATTATAATACCAAAATAGTAATGGCATTTAATGCAGTTGACTTTTCTGGATAGTAAATGTAGTAAATAAAATATCCATTTATATAAGTATAGATTGTATAATACAGAAATAGTAATGCAATAAATGTTGTTGACTTTTCTTTATACTAAATCTGGTAAATGGTATACCTTTTAATATAAGTATAGATTTGATTTCCCAATTTCAATACTCAATTGCTATTCACCGCCCCCCTATTACTACTTACCACCCCTCTTTAGACAATTTTGCTCCTAGCATTTT